ATTAATTATTAAACAAAAGAAAATTGAATACATTTTTAAAGTTTGACTTGAGTGCTAGTACTTGAGAGAGAAGCAGTCTTACTTAGAGGAAGAAGAGGTAGATGGATAATTATGGTGATTTGAAGAGATCTTCTGAGTACTTTCGAGAGCTTTTTGAATTTGATGGCACTGGTTCTTATGTCTAATTTTACTGAGGATTTAAACTATTTCCATTTCTGTGACTGGTTTAATACCACCCTGCTCTCATACTCAGCAACCGGGGCCCATGATCGGGGGACATTTTCAGCTCATAAATATAGAAAGGCACATTTTTCAATATGCCGAGTATTAGAGTGAAATTAGAGAGTTGGATGTGAGTGAATGAAATTGAGCTGAGAATGTAAAAGATAAGAGGAAGGACTTTAATGCTAGGACTTTTAGGTCTGAGGAGGGACCAGGGACCAGGGCGAGGCCATTGAGGTGCCTACAGTGTCGGTCCTATGCTTGCTTGACCCTGACAGTGCCTCCATTTTTTGTTTGTTCATTTATTTTGTTCTTTATATTGCACATATAAGTGAGATTCGATGGTATTTGTCTTTCCCTGTGCGACTTATTTCACTTAGCATAATACCTTCCAGGTCCATCCATGTTGTCGCCAATGGTGATATTTCATTCTTTTTTATGCCCAGGGAATTCCATTATATATATGTACCACATTTTCTTTATCCAATCATCTACTGATGGGCACTTAGGTTGCTTCCATATCTTGGCTATTGTAAATAGCACTTCAGTGAACGGAGGGGTGCATATATCTTTTCAAATTAGTGTTTTGTTTTCTTCAGATAGATATCCAGAAGAGCAATTGCTGGGTCATACGGCAGTTCTACTTTTAATTATTTTTGAGGAACCTTCAGGCTGTTTTCCGTAGCGGCTGTACCAATTCACAATCCCACCAACAGTGCGCGAGGGTTCCCTTTTCTCCACATCCTCGCCAACACTGTTCTTTGTTGATTTATTGATGGCGGCCATTCTGCCAGGTGTGAGATGATAGCTCCTTGTGGTTTTAATTTGCATTTCTCTGACGATTAGTGATGTCGAGCATCTTTTCATATGTCTCTTGGCCATCTGTATGTCCTCTTTGGAGAGATACCTATTCACATTTTTTAATTGTATCGTTTGTTTGTTTGTTTGTTTGTTTTGGTGTTGAGTTGTATGAGATTTTTTAAATAAATTTTGAATATTAACCCCTTGTCAGTCGTATCATAGACAAATATCTTCTCCCACTCAGTAGGTTGTCTTTTTGTTTAGTTGATGGTTTCTTTTGCTGTGCAAATGCTTTTTAGTTTGATGGAGTCCCATTTGCTTATTTTTCTTTTGTTTCCCTTGCCTGACAAGATCTATCAGAAGAAAAAAATATTACTAAGAGCAATGTCCGAGAGTTTACTGCCTGTTTTCTTGTAGGAGTTTTATGGTTTAGGGACTTACATTTAAGCCTTTAATCCATTCTCAGTTTGTTCTCGTATGTGGTGTAAGAAGTTGTTCAAGTTTCATTGCTTTATATATGTCTGATTAGTTTTCCCAACACCATTTATTGAAGAGACTGTCTTTTCCTCATTGTGCATTCTTGCCTCCTTTGTTAGAGATTAATTGACCATATAGGCGTTGGTTTATTTCTGGGCTCTCAATTCTGTTCCATTGATCTATGTGTTTGTTTTTATGCCAGTACCATGCTGTTTGGATGACTCGAGCCTTGCAGTATGAGCATGCCTCCTTCAATGCTGTGCCCTAGGACAGTGGGACTCCGTCAAACTAAAAAGCATTTGCACATGTGGGAAACAGAGCGGAGAGAGGCCATGGAAGGACTAGATATTAAGGTTCTAGGAATCCCAGTATCAGAAGTCCTGGGTACAGGAGTTTGAACCTAAGCCAAGACTCTATGGCTGCAGGTAAGAACGGAGATGTTATGTGATAGGAGAATAAGGCTTAAAACCGAAGTAGACTGAATGTCATAGGTCCAGAAAGGCTTCGCAAAGGAGACCCGTGTTGGAATCAGAAAATTCTTTTCAGGCCAGAGAAGTATGGGAAGAAGTGTGACGACAGAGACAGAGGAAACAGTAGATGTAGAGGCATGAGAGTGTGAAATCGGTTTAGTGGCTGGAATTTAGGGAGTGATGGGAGACATGAAGTTGGGGACCATGTCATGGAGGGCTTTATAGACCATGTTGTTGATTTGAACTTTGTCTCTGTGGACCTTGGGGAACCGTCGAGGGTATTTTATGCTTGGAAATTACATGGTCATATCTGTGAACTTGAAAGATTATTAAATATTTTCAAATGCACTCATAAGTAAAGAGAACAGTGGAATGAACCCTTTTCTACCCATTAACCACATTTAATAATTAGCAAGATTTTGCCAGTCCCATTTCAGTGATCTCTTTTTTCTTTTCCTCCCAGTCTTCTTTCAAGTTTGCTGAAGCATTTTAAAGTCAATCCCAGACACGTTATTTCACCCCTGTGTATTCAGTAGGCACGTCTAAAAAGTACAGATGCTTTCTTATACAACCATGCTATCATTATGTTATCTTACAACCTTAACAGTTCCTTAATAGCATAGAATATCCAGCCCATTATAAAATTTCTCAGATTAGCTCACAAGATTGTCTAACAGTTGGTTTGTTCACATAAAGATCCAAACAAGGTCAATATACTACATTTGATTATCTCTTATTTTCCCAGCTTTATTGAGATCGCTATAGACTACATGTTTGTGCCTCCCCACAAATTAATATGTTGAAACCTAACCCCCAAGGTGATGGTATTGGGAGCCTTTGGGAGGGGATTAGGTCATGAGGGCAGAGCCCTCATGAATGGTACTAGAGCCCTTATGAAAAGAGACCCCAGAGAGTTCTGTTACCTCTTCTACCACGTGAGCAAGAAGGCACCAGATGTGAACCAGGAAGTGGGCTCTCGATCTACCAGTGCCTGGAGTGGGGACTTTTCTGCCCTAGAACTGTGAGAAATACATTTCTGTTGTTTATAAGCCACCTGGTATATGGCATTTTTTAAAAAGTGGCCCAGATGGACTAAGACAAGGTATAATTGGCAATGAAATATTGTATGTATTTAAGGTGTACAACTTGATGATTTGATATAGGTGTACTTTGTGAAATATTCACCACAATCAAGCAGGAAGGGAGTAATGGGGCAGATGTTGGTCAAGGGGTGCAAAGTTTCAGTTATTATCTCTAGTCTCCTTTCATCTAAAGCAGTCCGAACCTCATTTTTTAAAGCCATTTGCTTGTTGTAGAAAGTGGGCCCGTCGTCCTATAGAAAATGCCACATTTTGGATTTCTCTGTTTTCTTTCTTGCACTGTTATTTACTTTATTCCTCTATGCCGTAACCCCATATTTTTCTATAAAGGAAGTTAGCTTCAGAGGCTTGATGATATTCAGGTTCAGGTTTTTTTTTTTTTAGTCAAGAATACTTCACAGGGGTTGCTATATAATTCCCTCTGAATCACATGTGGAGGCACATGTCTATTCCACCTTTAATGAACAGGTGACAGCCTGATTCCTTCATTATGATGTTTCCCGTCAAACTTTTACTTAATTAATCCTTTGAAGATCATTGTCAGAATTATTTCACCAGGAGTTTCAGAATGGCGATTTCCTAATTTTATGTTCTATATGAATTAGCTGGAATTCTTCTGAAAGTAAACTTTCCATCATCAACTAGGATATCGGGTTATCTGTACAGGGAATGCAGGAGAGATGCATAATTGTTGCTCTTGAACTTGATTACCAATTTTCAGAATAAAGAGTTGGTACCCTAGTTACTTACTTTCAGTGATATCCAATGAGTTATATGTGTTTGTTCTCTGTCTGTCATGAACTCATGATTTTTAATGTATTCGATGGGTTTCAGTTGCTTGCAATCATTATTCTTGTCAATGTTCAAACTGTATTGTCTTTTGCCAAAGTGTTGCTTCCCATAACCCTCTGCCACTACTCATTAGGGTTCCATAGCTTGCTTGATTTCTGGGCAAAGCTTATCTTGTATATTTCCTGCCCCAGACTTGCCATTTCTCTAAGGAGCCCTGGTTTACTTCAATTTTCTTTTTTTAACAATGGCTTTACTGAGGTATAATTTACCTGGTATGAAATTCACCTGTTTAAACCATACAATTAAGTAAATTTATATAGTCGTGCAACCACGACCACAGTCAGATTTTAGAACATTTCCATAAGGCTACAGGATCCCCTGTACCTTTATTAGGTCAATCACCTTTCCCACCCCTAATCCCAGGCAACCACGATCTCTATAGATCTGCCTTTTCTAGAGATTTCCTATAAATGGTATCATATACGATATAGCCTTTTGCATCTGGCTGCTTTCTCTTAGCACTGGTTTTTTTAATTTTAATTGAGACGTGATTCACATACCACAAAATTCACCATATTAAAGTATATAACTCTGTGGTTTTTAGTGTATTCAACCATCACCCCTATCTACTTCCAGAACATTTCAAAAAGAAACCTTGTACTGGTTAGCAGTCACTTCACATTAACCCATTCTCCCCCAGCCCCCTGCAAGCAATAATCTACTTTATTTCTCTATGGATTTACCTACTCTAGACATTTTCTATAAATAGAATCATACAGTATGTGGCCTTTTGGTCTGGCTTCTTTCACTTAGCATAGTGTTTTCAAGGTTCATCCATGTTATTGCATGGATGTATCAGTAGTATCAGTACTTAGTTCATTCCTTTTTATGTCTGAGTAGTATTCCTTTGTAGGAATAGATCATATTTTGTTCATCCATTCATCAGCTGATGGACATTTCGAGTTGTTTCCACTTTTTGGGTAATATCAATGTAAGAAATGTCCAAACCTGTAGAGAATTTTTCTGAGTTTATTTGAGTTAAACCGATGACATACCAGGAAGCAAGATCTCAAATGCTCTAAAGAATGACGGTTTTGCATTTCTTTTTATACCTTTGTTTTTCTTTTTTTATTTTTAAAGCCTACAGCACCCGGTCTTCCCAGGTGGTCTCCCATCCAAGTATTAACCGGGCCCGACCCTGCTTAGCTTCCGAGATCTCATGAGATCAGACGTGTTCAGGGTGGCATGGCCGTAGACCTTTTTATACCTTTGGAATTAAGGAGGGACCTTGAGAAAGATTCCATGAACATGTGAGAAAGCAAGGCAGGGAAATCTCTATGATTCTCCCCCAGCCCCCTGCAAGCAATAATGAGACCGATTGGATTACAGGATAGTTAACAAGATCCTGTGTTCTCTTGAGGGTGGTTACGCTTCCCAGGATTCTGAAAAAAAGGCATTTCAAAGGCGTGTTAACCTAGATGCACAAAAACAGTGGACAGGACTTGCTTAAGTTGGACATAAACCTTTTATAGGCCTGGGGCACGGCTACCCACCATAACCTGCCCAGTTAGGAATTTATGATCAGATCATCGTGTGAGGTCACTTTCAGTTGGATTTATTATAGAATCCTTTTTTCATCTGTAGTAATACGGTAGTTAACTCTAGGTTTAACCTTTTGAGAAACTGTCCTGTTGTTTTCCAAAGCAGCTGTACCATTTTACATTCCCAGCAGCAGTATATGAGGGTTGCCATTTCTTCCACATTCTTGCCAACACTTGTTATTATCTGTCTTTTTGATCACAGCCATCCTGGTAGCTACTTTGGAAAAACAGTCAGTATTTCCTCAAAAGATTAAGTGCAGGTCCTGGTCCCTGCCCCTTCCAGAGATTGTTGTGGTTTTGTTTCATTTTTTTTCTTTGTTCAGTGACTTGCCTGGACTAATTCTGTTTTCTAAAAAATTCTATTTCTAAGCCTGGCTTCTCAGGTATCATACCTGGGCCAGGACAGCTTAGTAGACAGTCAATAGTTTGTTCAAGGTTGTCCTTAAACATCTTGGGCCAGTACTGTCTTCCACACTTTCTCGATGGGGTTGTGTGTGGGTTGGGAACATAGTCAGAGTCCAGGGAGTTTACTAGTCTTCTCCGAGTTTTACTTTCTGCAGGGCCTTCTCATGTCTCCTCTGTGCCTGTGCAGGTCTTTGAATCCAGCCAAGGAAACGTGGATAACTGGGGCCATCTCCGGTACCCTGAGCTTCAGTGCAGTCCTGCACATATGCATAGCCTTCTAGACCACCAGTGATATGAGGGAGCTTATCAAATCCCAGTAGGGCTGTCTCATTTTCTGGATCTCTTTGCTAGATTTCAGCAGGCCTGTTGTTCTGTCGCTTGCGCCAACCAGTATTGTGACCTCAGGTAACTGTGATGTTCCTTTTTCCTGATGTAAGGAGTTTGCTATCTTCAACGCCCCTGGGCGTAAGACATTTTATCTGTGCTCATTCCTAAACAAGTAATTCACCTCCAGCAGGCAAGTTGCTGTTTAGGGCTTGTCTTGCCATGCCCTTGCAAAATCAGCTCCAGTGGAGCTGGGAGTGGGGATATGCACAGCCTCAAGCTAAAACGCCATAGATTCCCACTGTTCTTACCCAAGGTTCAATAGGTTTTCTGAAACGCTTCTTAATTTATTGTTTAATTTTGGTCTATTTCCACAGTCCTGAAATGGGGGTTTTGATAATGTTGTCGTTATAGCATTGTTTCTTTGAGGGAGAAGATTTGCTGAACCCCTCACTTTGCCATTTCCGAAGTTCTGCTTAATTTATGTTTTAAAAGATCATTCTGATAGCAGTGGAAGAGCAACTGCGTGGAGGAGAAACTAGTGGTCGGGAGGATAGGCTTTTACTCAGTAGTATTTTGTAACCTGTAAACAGGACTGGAAAATATAAATAACTGGGATGATTTGTGGGTGAATAGATATGGTGGTAAACCAAGGGGATGGGAGAATTGAGAGTGCTGGCAACTGTCATGGAAGTCCTACTGTCCATGGAATCTTTCCTAGATAGATAAGGAAGCGAAGTCCAGAGGGACATGGTGTCCTTGGAAAATAGGTAAGAGGCTTGATAAATTAAAGGCCCTGAGGAAGTCAAAGGGTAAATTCAGGGAGTGTAAGATGTAGGAGAGGTAGAAGAACAAGTAGTTCTGAGAGTGGCCTCTGTCATTTTTGGAGGTAGAACCATTACAGGTGTCACTATGGCAATGGACAATTCACGTGGAGTTGAGAAGAAGAAATCAGAAAAAGATTTGTCAAGAAGCTGTGAGGTTTGGATGTTACATCATCAAGGGAGAAGCTGAAGGCCTTTCGTGATGAAGAGGGAAAGGGAAATAAGTGTCCCCAAAGACCTCAGTGATTGCAGGTGAGAGACCTGGAGTTGACATTTAACATTGAAAGGGCGATAAAATTGAATAGTATGAACTTTGAAGATAGATGGGCTGTGGACGGAAGATGGTAAAATAATACTCTGAGGATCCAGTGAAGAAGATGCTATCCCGATCTTGATATGTGGGGAGAGGTGAGTCGAAGATGTGAGCAGCCTCCAATGACGAGCTTTACAAAGAAAGCAGAGTTAAGGAGACGAGAGAGAGGCTGAATGGATGGGCAAGACCAAAAGCAAGAACGTTTTAGGAAATGCTGGATAGTTCATTATTTTTGCTTAAGCTTAGAGTACAGTTGGGGGCATAATAGAGGATAATATAGGCATCTATGTGATTCGTTTGAAAATAGAGTATAACTGGAGTTAAAAATGCCGTTAGTTGGATGGTATACTAAGGAAACGACTTATTTTGTTTAGATCTTAGGGGAATGTTGGAACTGGTATTGGTAGCTGGGAAGCAGTTTCACTGCTCTAGAATACGTCGACTATGACAAATGTGAAATTGGGTGTGTAGTTGATAAGTTATTCATGTCACCATTGGACTTGAAGTTGCCTCTAGATCATCATTTTGCTAGGAATGTGTCCTGTAGACTGTGATAAATTTCATTCCTTTCGTAATTAGAAAATTGGAGCTTTAAAAATGAATCGACTTTCTGGAATAATCTTTTTCTGTTCTTTTCCAGAACCATCTGCGACCCACAATGTATAGAGGATTGTGTGGGATCTGCTTTAGCGTGAGGGTTTTGATCTCAATTGCCCTGAGTCTATTTGATATGGTCGTGTCTATGTATGCGTAAGGTATGTGGCAAGAAGGATAGAAGAGAAAATGTAAAGCAAACAGGGGACCGAATGGGAGATGCAGAGCCCCGGTTATAACAACCTTAAGATTAACTGCTGTGATGGTAATTCGGCACGTTTTCGGTTCTAGCTATCATTTGTTATGAACTAAAAGAACGTTGAAATAATTGCCAGTAGGATGGAGGTGGGGAGTCGGTTAGCTGGCAAGGAGCCTTACAGCTAGCTGTTTTTATATTAATACTGCATATTTGGAGTTGGTTGATAACGGCAGAAAAATATGATCCTACTGGGGCCTTATTACATTGATTTCTGCTGTCGTAATATGAATGTGTTTAACAGCCACCCTTATAAACATAACATTTCTCTTTTTGCCATCCTAGCAGCCATCAGAGAAGAGATCACAGAAAAGCTGTTGCTTGTACGGTCATCTTCATCACTTGTGACGTGGGATGTGGAGCTCTTACGCTGTCAGAATTCCAGTTCGTGAAGCAATCGGTGTCATTCTGGTCTAGCCAGGAGAGTAGTCCCTACTAGTTTCTAGTTTTCTAGGGAAAAGAGAAAAAAAAAAAAAAAAACAAGAAAGAAAAACAGCAGAGAAGGTGAATATGGAAAAATCCAGATATGAATCTTAGACCTTAAAGCAGAGGTCAAGGCCCGGGTCATAAGCAGCGAAGCAAGGGGACAAAGCCTGGGGTTTTGTTCAATCGCAGCGGGATGGCACCCATGGCACGTAAGCACCGGAAGAACTGAGTCTGTTTTGTAACCTGGCTTGATTTCAAGAATGAAGAGACTTAGTTGAAACTGCAATAAAAGTATCTAAGAAGGCGAGATTAAAGAGGAAAGGAAGTATGCTTTGAAGTGAAACTAGATAGAAGTTTAATTGTATCGAAGTATCTTTCTAGTGAAATGTTGACTACATAGAGATGAGGATCGTTTTAAATATTTCTTTAATATTTAATAGTTAAGAGAATGAATCCTGGCTCTTTCACTTACTAGCCGTGTGATCATGGGGAATTACCTTCTCCAAACTCCAGTCTCTTTAGCTATCAAGTAGATTAATGAGACCGATATGGTTATTGTAAGAATTAAGTGAAAAAAATATATGAAGTATACATAGCATGATGCCCGGCACATACTTAGAGTTCAGCATATAGTCACTATTATCAGGCAGTGGAGGGGACAGTGAGATGGATATTCAATTATGAGATACATTATTCTCCACAGGTAGGTACACGGTCATTTCTTCTCAGACCCTCTTAGAGATCAGGCTACAACGAGTGCTAATTAGGCCAATTCGAAGGAGGCAAATTTCTTTCGTTTCCTGAGTTTGTAACAAATTAGGTCTTCCATACACTTTCCTTCCAGAATAGTGCCTTTAACACTAGTATCTTTTGTTAGATTTACCATTAGTGTTTTTAATAGTTGTTTGTTTGGCTTGGATCTTGAATTTGGGGGAAGATGCCAAAATGACGAACACAGAAGATGTTAAGAGTCTGTAAAAGGTACAGTTTTCTCCCCGGTGAGCGTAGATCACCTTTTGGATCGAATTCATTCAGGTTTCTTGTCTGGCTGGAGTGAAGCAGATCGTGTGGAGCTGAAGCATCACAGTGACGCTAAAACAGGTTCTAATGAGCTGTCTGGCCCGCCTCTTCCACTTAGGGAGGAGGAGATGGGCTTCTCAATCCAGAGAGCTTTTTAGAGACCTAGTTTTGTTAGGCCTCCACAGGAGCCGTGGAAGAGGAAGTTTACAGGTACAGGATTTGTGTTGTTATTTTACATTCAGTTTGAAGAGTCTCATTTAATTTTTTTTTCCCCTTTCCATTACTTTATTTTTTAGAGCAGTTTTAGGTTTACAACAAAATTCAACGGAAAGCACACGGAGTTCCCCCCCCCCCCCCCCTGGACCCCTCTACACAAGCACAGCCACCCCCGCCATCAACATCCCCCACCAGAGCGGTGCATTTGTTACAATTGGTGAACCTACACGGACACATCGTCCCCGCCCAAAGTCCCTAGCTGACATCAGAGTTCCCTC